GAAATGCTTTGAAATTTTGAATAAAGTCTTGCCTTAGGATATGCTACAATTTGATATATACAAATTTTCATGAAAACACGTGCATGCATGTGCGCTTTAATCTGATTGGCTGAAACTTTCAATGGCTAAATCTCCTTTGTTTTTTGTCGAAATGCTTTGAAATTTAAAACATAGTCATGCATTAGAATATCATACAATATGATGTATAGAAAATTTCAAGAAATCATGCGCGTGGACGTGTGCTGCAATTTGATTGGCTGAAACTTTAAATGGCTATATCTCCTTTGTTTTTTGACGAAATGCTTTGAAATTTAAAACATAGTCATACATTAAGATATCCTGCACTCTGATATACAACAAATTTCAAGAAATTACGCGCATGCACGTGCGCTGCAATCTGATTCGCTGAAACTGAAAATGGCTATAACTCCCTTGTTTTTTAACCAAACAGGATGGGATTTAGAATCTAGATAGATATAAGGCCCTCCTACAAGAAGGTATGGTCATCATGCACGTGCACGCACGTGTGTGCATTTGAAACGAGTGAAACTAAAAATACACTTGAATTGGTGTTTTTTAATAGTTTTGGACTAGATGCTTTAATATATAGTATATTTAAATATATAGAAAGTGTAGACAAGATGATATGATCATTGCACACGTGCATTCACATGCGCACGGGTGCAATGTTAAAATTTGAATATAATTGGTATCCTTCATGGAAAACGTTTTTAAAGTCAAAAATGCACAGATTTTGTTTTATTTTATAAGGCTTACGGGGAATATGGCACCAAAAGGGAGTTGGGGAGCGTTTGGGGAACATCTGTAACGGTTCCCGTTACAATTAGCACTAGTTATTATTATTATGTTCCCCAAACGGAGTTTGGGAACATATTGTTTTTACTCGGTTTCTTATTATTATTATTATTATTTTTTTTTTCTTATTTGTTCTCCGGTACTTTTTTGTCCGCGAGTGTTCTCAGAAACTGTTCACCCAACTGACCTAAAACCTTTTTAGGGTTAATAGGTGTGTAGTGTAGGTGTGCGGAACGAAGGTCATTTTGCGCGCATACGCCTGCACGTGCGTGCGCGTGAAATGAGTGAATTGACTGATATACTTAATATAGCTATAACTTTTACATTTTTTGATGAAATGCTTTGAAACTCATTACATAAGGATATATTAATAGTGTTAATAGTATGACACTGTCAAATTAGCACGAACTCACGCGCATGCACGTGCGCCTTGCTCTGATTGGCTGAAACAAAAATCTCAATATCTCTTTTGTTTTCCGACGAAATGCTTTGAAATTTTTAACATTGTCATGAATTAGAATATTCTACAACATGATATGGAAAAATTTCATGAAATCACGCGCATGCACGTGCGCTGCAATCTGATTGGCTGAAACTTTAAATAGCTATATCTCCTTTGTTTTTTGACGAAATGCTTTGAAATTTAAAACATAGTCATGCATCAAGACATCCTGCAATATGATATATAAAAAATTTCAAGAAATCACGCGCATGCACGTGTGCTACAATCTGATTGGCTGAAACTTTAAATGGCTATATCTCCTTTTATTTTTGATGAAATGCTTTGAAATTTAAAACAAAGTCATGCATTTGGATATTCTACAATATGATTAAGAAAAAAATTCTTGAAATCACGTGGATGCACGTGTGCTGCAATCTGATTGGCTGAAACTTGAAATGGCTATAATTCCCTTGGTTTTCAACCAAACAGGATGGGATTTAGAACATAGATAGATAAAAGGGCCTCTAACAAGAAGGTATGGTCATCATGCACGTGCACGCACGTGCGTGCATTTGGAATGAGTGAAATTAAAAATACACTTGAATGAGTGATTTTTAATACTTTTGGACTGAATGCTTTAATATAAAGTATATTTAAATATATAGAAAGTGTAGACAAGATTATATGATCACTACGCACGTGCATTCACATGGGCACGCGTGCAATGTTAAAATTTGAATATAATTGGTATCCTTTTGGTAAAACGTTGTTAAAGTTAAAAATGCACAGATGTTGTCTTATTTAATAAGGCTTACAGGGAATATGGCACCAAAAGGGAGTTGGGGAGCGTTTGGGGAACATCTGTAACGGTTCCCGTTACAATTAGCACTAGTTATTTTTCTTCTTCTTCCTGGGTACTTTTTTGTCCGGGAATGATCTTGTAAACTGTTCGTCCGATGAAGGTAAAACCTTTTTAGAGTCAGTAGGCATGTTATGTAGATTTGCGGAATCAAGGTCATTTTGCGCGCACGTGCTTGCAAGAGCGTGCACGTGCAACGTGTGAAATGACCAAAATAATAGATTAGCCGTAACTTTTATATTTTTAAATGAAATGCTTTGAAACTCATAGTGTAAGGATATATTAGTAGCATAGACAATATGACATGGTCAAAATAGCAAGATCTCACGTGCATGCACGTGCGCTTCGCTCTGATTGGCTGAAACTAAACACTCAATATCTTTCTTGTTTTTTGACGAAATCCTTTGAAATTTTGAACATAGCCATGCATAATGATATCCTACAACATGATATATAACAATTATCATGAAAACACATGCATGCACGTGCGCTGCAATCTGATTGGCTTAAAGTTTAAATAGCTATAACTCCCTTGGTTTTCAACCAAACAGGATGGGATTTGGAACATAAATAGATATAATGGACTTCTATAAGAAGGTATGGTCACCATGCACATGCATACACGTGCGTGTACGTGCGCTGCAATCTGATTGGCTGAAACTTTAAACAGCTATAACTCCCTTGGTTTTCAACCAAACGGGGTGGGATTTAGAACATAGATAGATGTAATGAACTTCTACAAGAAGGTATGGTTTCCATGCTATGCATGCACTAGCTTGCACGTGAAATGAGTAAAATCAAAAATACACTTGAATGAGCATATTTTTTAATAATTTTGGATTAAATACTTTAATATTTAGTGTATTAAAATATAAAGATTGTGTAGACAAGATGATATGGTCATTACTCACATGCATTTACATGCGCACACGTTCAATGCTCAAATTTGAATGAACTTGGTACACTTGTGGGTAAACGTTAAAATCTCAAATGCATATAGTTTGTCTTATTTAATGAAGCTTACAGGGAATATGGCACCAAAAGGGAGTTGGGGAGCGTTTGGGGAACATCTGTAACGGTCCCCGTTACAATTAGCACTAGTTTCCCTTGTGGTAATTCTTTTATCAATGGAGTGTGAAAGAAAACAACAGCTAGGCCAATTAGAGTATGCCGATATTTATCAAGAACGAAAGGTAGATAAAGATTTATGTGTGTTTTTTTTTTATTATGTTAGAGCATTTATTATGGAGCTGCATGTTTTTTTATTCATTTAAAGGGAAATACACTCAGTTTATTGTGCGTTATAACATATATGCCCTCATTATAAAACAGAGTAATTTCGCGTTGAATGTGAAATGATAGTTTGTATATCAAAGATGTTAAATACACGTACCTGCAATATCATAAAATCTACTCTTGAATGTGGATAGATCTACGGGGAATTTGATGTACCTCTGTGCGAAACTCGCAAGAAGGGAACACACACGGCGAGCGGCTCTTCCAGTCGAAGACTTGGTGATTCCCAGTGGTTCACCGACGAGGTTATAAAATGATCCAGTGGCTAGGAACCGTAGGGCTACCAGCACTTGTAAAAGAGGGGGCAGGGCGGAGTTTCGTTTCGTTGGTCTTACAAGATCATTGTACAGTAATTCCACAAGGAACATGATAGTAGCAGGCCGAAAACGGTATTTCACATAGATCTCATTCGGCTCCAATTCTTCTAATGGATTACTTCTATCCCTGAAAACACGCGGACGGGGAGCTTTTCTCTGCCTTTGAATGATGTTGAAAATATTCAATCTCGCTGCCGAAGACGCCATATTGGAAGTGAGACCAAAAATTATGAAGTTAGACACCTTTTATGTGGTCTAACTTTTTGAGCTCAAAAGTGAGACCAAACCAAGAAAGTGAGACCGAGACCGAGACGGCAAATTTTTATGGCACACCTAACGTGAGACTGAGACCAAAAACCTAGACCGTCTCGAATTTTGATCTCAAAAGTGAGCTGGCTAAGTTTTATGGCCCCGGAGCCAGGACCTCCTGCTAACCATGCCACTGTTCTTCTGACCAACTGGGAGAACTTACTTCCGGTAAATCGCCATAATACTCTTGCATCACTCCTTGAAGTTTTCCACCTTGAATACCTCACTGAAACTCACTAAACCACTCGTAGGTTTCAGTGTTGGGTACCAAATATAACTTACAGTTGAGGAAAGGTATTGACCAAACAGGACCTTACACTAATTACTGAATACTCAACCAAATACTCAATCCCAAAGCCATTACATGTACCGTGGTACATACAATAATGCCTTGGAATAACATCTTGTGATTGTCACTGAATATATCATCTTTATAGACAAGTTTAAAAGTGTTTTAGTGGAGTCAAAATAAGAACTATTTGTGATATGATGTAAACCCATGAAACAGAGTTTGAAAGAAGAAAAGTTGCTTACCATCTTAAAGAAATTACAACGTATGTCATTTTAATTGTGGATGCTTCAATTTACTGAAAAAATGAGCCATTTAAAAGAAGAAATTAGCATCATAAATAAAATAAAAATTGTAATCTTATGACTTTTTAAATATCTGTCTTCAATATAAGTTTAAAAATTAGAGAAAAAATTATGGAAAAAATTGATTTTTAATGCCCTACCATGAATCTGGCAATGATGTGTAGCATTTGTCATTTATGTCTTCCGTCAATCCATCCCTTAATATCTGACTGTCCTGCACACTTCAGCCTTTGGTTCAGTTTCATATGATTAGAAACAAATCTGTACAGGTGTGTTATTACTTGAGGTTTACTGAGGTATAACATCAACTCTCTCTTTTGACCATGGCTTTTTTTTCTTTTATGTTAAAAAAACTGTATTTTTTCAGATAGGGTGCAAGAGTTATAATCAAGATGGCATTCACTCAGCCATCAAAGCGAGGTGAATGGGTGGAAGAAAAGATTCTTGGGTCTGGAGGCTTTGGTCAAGTTGTTCTCTGGAAAAATGAGGTAAAATATAGATTCTGATGAACTTCAGTATCTCGAACATCAATATCTAAAATATCCTAGAGTATTTTATATGATTTCAAGGTTTTTGTCTGTATCTTTCAAATTCAATTCTTTCAAATATCTTTTCAAATATATCTTGAATACAAAATACATAATGTAACTTTGCATTGTAAAACAAGTTATTTTAAAAATCATGCATGTATTTTCATCCCTGCTACAGGATTCAGGAGAATATGTTGCCATAAAAAAGTGTCGTGTTCAAAGTGAAATGACGCAGAAGCATCGAGAACGATGGACCTTAGAGGTGGACATTATGAAACGTTTAGATCACCCCAATGTTATAGCTGCCAAAGAGGTACCCCCAGTACTGAATGTTGGTACCGGAGAGCTCCCGTTATTGGCCATGGAGTATTGTCCTGGAGGGGATTTACGCAAGGTATATAACAATAATTCAAAGTAGACAGTATAAAAAAAATCTGTGGCATATTGGCATTCAAGATCTTAACAGCTAGCCTTGCTGCCAGGTTAGATATATATGTATGGGTCTTTTGAAAGACTTGGCTAGCGTATATCTAACAGGATTAAAGATCTACGTCCATCTTATTTATAAGCTTCAGACTTGAATGCAGCTCAGCATAACTAAGCGACAAATCTTTATATACTTTAAGGTATCAAGAAGGCTGCATTTGAGAGAGAATCAAAGACGATGTTTTATATTTTGTTTAAAAAACTCTAATATATCTATATTATATTTGACCTGAAGAGACATAGCAAAATAAATGAACTACATTAAACATTTTGCCAACAGGTGCTGAATAAACCAGAGTACTGTGTTGGACTAAAGGAGTTTGACATTCGGTGTCTTGTGAGGGATATTGCTTCAGCCATTGAATATCTACATGGTAAAAGAATCATTCATAGGGACTTAAAACCAGAAAACATTGTGCTGCAGACACAAGAGGAACAGGTTCGGTAGCTTATGTACCTCCACTGAATTTCAAATGACCTTTGTATGAGTAGTGTTAATTTCACTTATGTGTTCTAGCCATAAAATTGATGTAACCTGTCAATTCTTGTTTTGTTCTAATTTCAAAATTAGGTGCTTTGAAGGGTTAACTTTTCTTTTAGAACTTCTCTACTTTCTGGTTTTTCCTGATAAACTCTTCCTCCTTACAATCTGCCTTATCCAGTTTTCCTCTTCCTCTACATTTCCACTTTCTCCTCTTCATCTCCATTAATTCCTCCTCATCCTCTACTTTCCCAATTATTCCTTCTCCTCCTTTACATTTCCACTCATTCCTCTTCCTCTACAGTTTCACCTCATTCCTCCTCCTCCTCCTCTACATTTTGACTCATTCCTATTCCTCCTCCTTTCAATTCTACTTATTCGTCTTCCTCCTACTCCCGTACATTTCCATTGATTTCTCCTACCCCTCTACGTTTCCACTCATTCCTCCTCCTCTGCATTTCCACTCATTCCTCCTATATTTCAACTCATTCCTCCTCCTTCTCTACATTTCCATTCATTCCTGCTCCTTCTCTACATTCTCCCTTATTCCTTCTCCTCTTCCTCTACATTTCCTATCATTCCTCCTCCTCCTCTTCCTTTACATTTCCATTCACTCCTCCTTCTCCTCCTCTACATTTCCACTTATTCCTCCTCTGACTCTTTATTTCCACTCATTTTTCCTCCTACTCCTCTACATTTCCACTCATTTTCCTCCTCCTTCTCTACATTTCCACTCATTCCTCCTCCTCCTCCTCTACATTTCACACATTTCTCCTCCTCTTCCTCTACATTTCCACTTATTACTCTTCCTTCTCTACATTTCCACTCATTCCTCCTCCTCTTCCTTTGCATTTCCATTCATTCCTCCTCCTCTTCCTCTACATTTGCACTCATTCCTCCTCCTCCTCTTCTACATTTCCACTCATTCCTCCTCTTCTTTCTATACATTTCCACTCTTTTTTCCTCCCCCTCTACATTTCTGTTCATTCCTTTTTCTCCTCCTCTACATTTCCATCATTCCTCCTACATTTCCACTTATTCATCCTCCTTGTCCTGTAAGTTTCCACTATTCCTCTTTTAAACCTTTGTTATTCTCCACTTTAGATTAGATATTACTTATAAGTTTGATTGTGCCACTAACCAGTTCAACTATGTAATGCATTATTTTATTTTATAGACTGTATACAAACTGATAGACTTGGGTTATGCTAAGGAGCTAGATCAAGGAAGTGTTTGTACCTCCTTTGTTGGAACTCTCCAGTACTTGGTAAGTTGTGTTATCTCTCCTAGGCAATGAATCTGATTTGTATTATTAGCTCACCTGAGCTGAAGGCTCAAGTGAGCTTTTCTGGTCAAAATTTGTCAGTTGTCTGTCGTTGTAGTCGTTGTCATCGTCGTTGTTGTTGTCGTCGTCGTAAAGTTTTCACATTTTCATCTTCTTCTCAAGAACCACTGGGCCAATTTCAACCAAACTTGCTACAAAGTATCCTTGGGTAAAGGGGATTCAAGTTTGTTCAAATGAAGGGCCACGCCCTTTTCCAAGGGGAGATAATTATGAATTAGAGAAAAATTAATGGCATTTTAAAAAAATCTTCTTCTCAAGAACCACTTGGCCAGGAAAGATGAAACTAATGTGGAATCATCCTAAGGTAGTGAAGATTCAAGTTTGTTCAAATCATGACCCCCGGGGCAAGGGTGGGGCCAAAATGGCCGACCCATTATTTTAACATAGGAATATATAGGAAAACTCTTTAAAAATCTTCTTCTCAAGAACCACTGGACCAGGAAGGATGAGACTCATGTGAAATCATCCTCAGGTAGTGTAGTTTCAAATTTGTTCAAATCATGACCCCCGGGGCTAGGGTGGGGCTATAATGGCCGACCCAAGTTTTACATAGGAATATATAGGAACAAACTTTAAAAATCTTCTTCTCAAGAACCACTGGACCAGGAAGGATGAGACTCATGTGGAATCATCCTCAGGTAGTGTAGTTTCAAATTTGTTCAAATCATGACCCCCGGGGCTAGGGTGGGGCCAAAATGGCCGACCCAAGTTTAACATAGGAATATATAGAAAAATCTTTAAAAATCTTCTCAAGAACCATTGAGACAGGAAAGATGTAACTCATGTGAAGTCATCCTCAGGTAGTGTAGATTCAAATTTGTTCAAATCATGACCCCTGGGGCTAGGGTGGGGCCAAAATGGCCGACCCAAATTTTACATAGGAATATATAGGAAAACCCTTTAAAAATCTTCTTCTCAAGGACCACTGGACCAGGAAGGATGAGACTCATGTGGAATCATCCTCAGGTAGTGTAGTTTCAAATTTGTTCAAATCATGACCCCTGGGGCTAGGGTGGGGCTATAATGGCCGGCCCAAGTTTTACATAGGAATATATAGGAAAACTCTTTAAAAATCTTCTTCCCAAGAACCACTGGGCCAGGAAGGATGAGACTCATGTGGAATCATCCTCAGATAGTGTAGTTTCAAATTTGTTCAAATCATGACTCCCGGGGCTAGGGTGGGGCCAAAATGGCCGACCCAAGTTTTACATAGGAATTTATAGGAAAACTCTTTAAAAATCTTCTCAAGAACCACTGGACCAGGAAGGATGAGACTCATGTGGAATCATCCTCAGGTAGTGTAGATTTAAGTTTGTTCAAATCATGACCCCCGGGACCAGGGTGGGGCCAAAATGGCTGACCTAAGTTTTACATAGGGATATATAGGGAAACTCTTTTAAAATCTCCTTTTCAAGTATTCAAAGCCATGATTAGTGATATTTATATGGAATCATCCTCAGGTAGTGTAGATTCTAGTTTGTTCAAATCATGAATCCCCGGGGGGTTAAAATTCAAGCCCCCCACCACCACCACCACCTCAGTAAACTTTTAGTTCTGATCTGATATGTGCTTTTCCTAGCCGATGTGCTCAGGTGAGTACTGTGGCCCCTGGGCCTCTTGTTAAAGTCTTTTGTTTTACACACAGTAAATTGAGAACTGACTCTGCATCTTACACTGTTTTGCTAGGCCCCTGAACTGTTTGCCAGTCAGAAATACACATGCACGGTAGACTACTGGTCCTTTGGGACTGTGGTGTTTGAATGTATTACAGGATTCCGTCCCTTTCTCCCTCAAGTTCCACCAGTTACATGGCAAGTAATAATGTTTAATATTACATGTAACTAAAGGCCTTCACTCATATCTTTGGACAAAATGCAACAAGATCATAAAATTGGTTGAATAATACCAACTACTAGGATAATTTGCATGATTGTATAAGTTCTCAAATTTTGTGTGAAGCTTTATACTTACATGTAACTTTGAAATAATGTTTGTATTCCAGGCATAGGGAAGTTTGCAAAAAATCTCCCGAAGACATAACAGCATTTTATAATTCTGAAGGAGTGGTAAAATTCTCCAAGAAAATTGTAACACCAACACATTTATGCAGGTAACTTGGACATCTTAAAATACAGGCACAAGAACAGATTACTTTTATTTGCAGAAATGGGGTTAGAAAATAAGGAAGAGTTTTTCAAAATATGAAAAAATCATACTGAATATAAGAAATATGAGATGCGGAAAAATTGCATTTTATCCTCTTGCAAAGAAGTTGTAGGGGAATGGATATACCCTGTAGTAACAGTTTGTGAGTGTTGTAAGTGAATTAAGTATTTGTGCATAACGGAAGTGATAATTTACATTGGAATAAAAGTTATTTTCTAGCTTTCTTGTGAGAAGATGATCTGCTTTGTGAGACCCTGTTTCTGATATGAGCCTACTTTTTACCTCTTTAGAAGCATGCAGGCCTATTTTGAGCAGTGGTTACGACTGATGCTGAGGTGGGACCCTAAAGCCAGAGGTGGAGGGCTCATTGAGGGGAGACCGCAGTGCTTCAAAATCCTGGACACCATGCTCAGCATCAAGGTAAGCAATGGGATTAAGTGTTGTATCATGATTATTGAAAGCTAGGCCATATAAGCTATTACATATCATGATTTGCAATACATTGATGGAGTACAATACTGATACCTATGATATTTGCTTAACAGGTGTTTACCTTAATTCTGTATATGTCAGCCCAAAGTGGAAAGAAAATTTTACAAAATTCTATTACACTTTAACTACATACATTGTTGAAAACTTACAGTTAGTCTGGATTCTCTTTCCTCTGGGAGGAAGACCAAGTGTGGGTTTCCGATGATGAACTAGATATCACAAATTAAGTTTAATTTAGCAAAGTCGATATTGTAATTTGCAGATAGTGCACATTTTATATGTGGCCAACAATCAACTATTATCCTACCCATTGCTGGACAACTATTCTATGCTTGAACTTCAAGAAAATATTGAAAAAGAAACAGGGGTGAAAGTTCAGGATCAAGACATTCTATTGGCTAGTGGGGCATCACCTGACCCTAACCTTGGAGCACATCAGTGCTGGACAGCTCCGGTATGCTCTATGATTTTCTTTACAACATGAATGCCATTATGATTCAGATTCTGAGAAAATAAGAGAAATTAGAGTTTGATAAGTGATGTTAAATTTTACAGGGAGAGGAGGATTGGGTAGTGTTCATGTTCATCAAGGGAGAGAATCAAGGTGGTGGAGATAAAAAGAACAAGCCATTGCCACCTAATGTTCAGAGCATTGTGAAAGACTCCAAAACAGCCCTGCCATATAATGTATGTAAAGTATATTTCAAGGGTTTTTTAGCTCTACTGGTCAGAGACCAGAAGAGCTTATGCGATAGTAATGCGTCCGTCGTCCGTCCGTCTGTCTGTCTGTCTGTCTGTAAACAATTTTTAGCTCACCTGAGCCGAAGGCTCAAGTGAGCTTTTCTGATCACATTTTGTCCGGCGTCCGTCTGTCTGTCTGTCCGTAAACTTTTCACATTTTCGACTTCTTCTCAAGAACCGCTGGGCCAATTTCAACCAAATTTGCCACAAAGCATCCTTGGGTAAAGGGGATTCAAGTTTTGTTCAAATGAAGGGCCATGCCCTCATTCAAGGGGAGATAATTGGGGATTAATGAAAATTTGGTGGTATATTTTAAAAATCTTCTTCTTAAGAACCACTGTGCCAGGAAAGTTGAAACTTATGGGGAAACATCCTCAGGTAGTGTAGATTCAAATTTTTTCAAATCATGACCCCCGGGGGTAGGGCGGGGCCACAATGGCCGACCAAAGTTTTATATAGAAATATATAGGAGAATTCTTTAAAAATCTTCTTCTCAAGAGTAGCAGAGCCATAATTGCTCACATTTATATGGAAGCATCCCCAGGTAGTGTAGATTCAAGTTTGTTCAAATCATGACCCCCGGGGGTAGGGCAGGGCCAAAATGGCCGATCAAAGTTTTAGATAGAAATATATAGGAAAATTCTTTAAAAATCTTCTTCTCAAGAACAGCAAAGCCAGAATTGCTCATATTTATGTGGAAGCATCCCCAGGTAGTGTAGATTCAAGTTTGTTCAAATCATGACCCCCGGGGGTAGGGCTGGGCCACAATGGCCGACCAAAGTTTTATATAGAAATATATAGGAAAATTCTTTAAAAATCTTCTTCTCAAGAACCGCAGAGCCATAATTGCTCATATTTTTGTGGAAGCATCCTCAGGTATTGTAGATTCAAGTTTGTTCAAATCATGACCCCCGGGGGTAGGGCGGGGCCACAATGGCCGACCAAAGTTTTATATAGAAATATATAGGAAAATTCTTTAAAAATCTTCTTCTCAAGAATAGCAAAGCCATAATTGCTCATATTTATATGGAAGCATCCTCAGGTAGTGTAGATTCAAGTTTGTTCAAATCATGACCCCCGGGGGTAGGGCAGGGCCAAAATGGCCGACCAAAGTTTTATATAGAAATATATAGGAAAATTCTTTAAAAATCTTCTTCTTAAGAACAGCAAAGCCAGAATTGCTCATATTTATGTGGAAGCATCCCCAGGTAGTGTAGATTCAAGTTTGTTCAAATCATTACCCCCGGGGGTAGGGCGGGGCCACAATGGCCGACCAAAGTTTACATAGAAATATATAGGAAAATTCTTTAAAAATCTTCTTCTCAAGAACAGCAAAGTCATAATTTCTCATATTTATATGGAAGCATCCTCAGGTAGTGTAGATTCAAGTTTGTTCAAATCATGACCCCCGGGGGTAGGGCGGGGCCACAATGGCCGACCAAAGTTTTATATAGAAATATATAGGAAAATTCTTTAAAAATCTTCTTCTCAAGAACAGCTGAGCCATAATTGCTCATATTTGTGTGGAAGCATCCCCAGGTATTGTAGATTCAAATTTGTTCAAATCATGACCCCCGGGGGTGGGGCGGGGCCACAATGGCCGACCAAAGTTTTAGATAGAAATATATAGGAAAATTCTTTAAAAATCTTCTTCTTAAGAACAGCAAAGCCAGAATTGCTCATATTTATGTGGAAGCATCCCCAGGTAGTCTAGATTCAAGTTTCTTCAAATCATGACCCCCGGGGGTAGGGCTGGGCCACAATGGCCGACCAAAGTTTTATATAGAAATATATAGGAAAATTCTTTAAAAATCTTCTTCTCAAGAACCGCAGAGCCATAATTGCTCATATTTTTGTGGAAGCATCCTCAGGTATTGTAGATTCAAGTTTGTTCAAATCATGACCCCCGGGGGTAGGGCGGGGCCACAATGGCCGACCAAAGTTTTATATAGAAATATATAGGAAAATTCTTTAAAAATCTTCTTCTCAAGAATAGCAAAGCCATAATTGCTCATATTTATATGGAAGCATCCTCAGGTAGTGTAGATTCAAGTTTGTTCAAATCATGACCCCCGGGGGTAGGGCAGGGCCAAACTGGCCAACCAAAGTTTTATATAGAAATATATAGGAAAATTTTTTAAAAATCTTCTTCTTAAGAACAGCAAAGCCAGAATTGCTCATATTTATGTGGAAGCATCCCCAGGTAGTGTAGATTCAAGTTTGTTCAAATCATTACCCCCGGGGGTAGGGCGGGGCCACAATGGCCGACCAAAGTTTACATAGAAATATATAGGAAAATTCTTTAAAAATCTTCTTCTCAAGAACAGCAAAGTCATAATTTCTCATATTTATATGGAAGCATCCTCAGGTAGTGTAGATTCAAGTTTGTTCAAATCATGACCCCCAGGGGTAGGGCGGGGCCACAATGGCCGACCAAAGTTTTATATAGAAATATATAGGAAAATTCTTTAAAAATCTTCTTCTCAAGAACAGCTGAGCCATAATTGCTCATATTTGTGTGGAAGCATCCCCAGGTATTGTAGATTCAAATTTGTTCAAATCATGACCCCCGGGGGTGGGGCGGGGCCACAATGGCCGACCAAAGTTTTAGATAGAAATATATAGGAAAATTCTTTAAAAATCTTCTTTTTAAGAACAGCAAAGCCAGAATTGCTCATATTTATGTGGAAGCATCCCCAGGTAGTCTAGATTCAAGTTTCTTCAAATCATGACCCCCGGGGGTCGGGCTGGGCCACAATGGCCGACCAAAGTTTTATATAGAAATATATAGGAAAATTCTTTAAAAATCTTCTTCTCAAGAACAGCAGAGCCATAATTGCTCATATTTTTGTGGAAGCATCCCCAGGTATTGTAGATTCAAGTTTGTTCAAATCATGACCCCCGGGGGTAGGGCGGGGCCACAATGGCCGACCAAAGTTTTATATAGAAATATATAGGAAAATTCTTTAATAATCTTCTTCTCAAGAATAGCAAAGCCATAATTGCTCATATTTATATGGAAGCATCCTCAGGTAGTGTAGATTCAAGTTTGTTCAAATCATGACCCCCGGGGGTAGGGCAGGGCCAAAATGGCCGACCAAAGTTTTATATAGAAATATATAGGAAAATTCTTTAAAAATCTTCTTCTTAAGAACAGCAAAGCCAGAATTGCTCATATTTATGTGGAAGCATCCCCAGGTAGTGTAGATTCAAGTTTGTTCAAATCATGACCCCCGGGGGTAGGGCGGGGCCACAATGGCCGACCAAAGTTTACATAGAAATATATAGGAAAATTCTTTAAAAATCTTCTTCTCAAGAACAGCAAAGTCATAATTTCTCATATTTATATGGAAGCATCCTCAGGTAGTGTAGATTCAAGTTTGTTCAAATCATGACCCCCGGGGGTAGGGCGGGGCCACAATGGCCGACCAAAGTTTTATATAGAAATATATAGGAAAATTCTTTAAAAATCTTCTTCTCAAGAACAGCTGAGCCATAATTGCTCATATTTGTGTGGAAGCATCCCCAGGTATTGTAGATTCAAATTTGTTCAAATCATGACCCCCGGGGGTGGGGCGGGGCCACAATGGCCGACCAAAGTTTTAGATAGAAATATATAGGAAAATTCTTTAAAAATCTTCTTTTTAAGAACAGCAAAGCCAGAATTGCTCATATTTATGTGGAAGCATCCCCAGGTAGTCTAGATTCAAGTTTCTTCAAATCATGACCCCCGGGGGTCGGGCTGGGCCACAATGGCCGACCAAAGTTTTATATAGAAATATATAGGAAAATTCTTTAAAAATCTTCTTCTCAAGAACAGCAGAGCCATAATTGCTCATATTTTTGTGGAAGCATCCCCAGGTATTGTAGATTCAAGTTTGTTCAAATCATGACCCCCGGGGGTAGGGCGGGGCCACAATGGCCGACCAAAGTTTTATATAGAAATATATAGGAAAATTCTTTAAAAATCTTCTTCTCAAGAATAGCAAAGCCATAATTGCTCATATTTATATGGAAGCATCCTCAGGTAGTGTAGATTCAAGTTTGCTCAAATCATGACCCCCGGGGGTAGGGCAGGGCCAAAATGGCCGACCAAAGTTTTATATAGAAATATATAGGAAAATTCTTTAAAAATCTTCTTCTTAAGAACAGCAAAGCCAGAATTGCTCATATTTATGTGGAAGCATCCCCAGGTAGTGTAGATTCAAGTTTGTTCAAATCATTACCCCCGGGGGTAGGGCGGGGCCACAATGGCCGACCAAAGTTTACATAGAAATATATAGGAAAATTCTTTAAAAATCTTCTTCTCAAGAACAGCAAAGTCATAATTTCTCATATTTATATGGAAGCATCCTCAGGTAGTGTAGATTCAAGTTTGTTCAAATCATGACCCCCGGGGGTAGGGCGGGGCCACAATGGCCGACCAAAGTTTTATATAGAAATATATAGGAAAATTCTTTAAAAATCTTCTTCTCAAGAACAGCTGAGCCATAATTGCTCATATTTGTGTGGAAGCATCCCCAGGTATTGTAGATTCAAATTTGTTCAAATCATGACCCCCGGGGGTAGGGCGGGGCCACAATGGCCGACCAAAGTTTTATATAGAAATATATAGGAGAATTCTTTAAAAATCTTCTTCTCAAGAGTAGCAGAGCCATAATTGCTCACATTTATATGGAAGCATCCCCAGGTAGTGTAGATTCAAGTTTGTTCAAATCATGACCCCCGGGGGTAGGGCAGGGCCAAAATGGCCGATCAAAGTTTTAGATAGAAATATATAGGAAAATTCTTTAAAAATCTTCTTCTTAAGAACAGCAAAGCCAGAATTGCTCATATTTATGTGGAAGCATCCCCAGGTAGTCTAGATTCAAGTTTCTTCAAATCATGACCCCCGGGGGTAGGGCTGGGCCACAATGGCCGACCAAAGTTTTATATAGAAATATATA